GTGAATCGATTAACTTTCCAGAGGGGGGGGAATGTTTAATAATGTTTTAATATAGTTTTAATTTACTGTAGCTTATTTGTATGTTGAAAGAATGGACAGGTCATCAGCTTAGTTACTTTCTCTTTATTTTCTCTTTACTTTAATAAATTTGTTGTCTATTTTTGTCTAAAATGTTTTTTTCCAATCAATCCAGGGGGGGGGGACAAGTGCCCCTCCGCCCTTTGCCCCTACCTGCGGGCGCCCATGCATGGTCATCCCTGGTTAAGAACCACTGGTTTATATCACAGGATTCAAACGACATTATTGCGTTGTGACATGTGGTCTTTGCGTGACATAACTTCAGCCACGAGGCCGACATGTGGTCTTTGCGTGACATAACTTCAGCCATGAGCCCGACATGTGGTCTTTGCGTGACATAACTTCAGCCACGAGGCCGACATGTGGTCTTTGCGTGACATATCTTCAGCCACGAGGCCGACATGTGGTCTTTGCGTGACATAAATTCAGCCACGAGGCCGACATGTGGTCTTTGTGTGACATAAATTCAGCAACGAGGCCGACATGTGGTCTTTGCGTGACATAAATTCAGCAACGAGGCCGACATGTGGTCTTTGCGTGACATAAATTCAGCAACGAGGCCGACATGTGGTCTTTGCGTGAACCACGAGGCCGACATGTGGTTTTTGCGTGACAGAATTTCAGCAACGAGGCCGACATGTGGTCTTTGCGTGACATAAATTCAGCAACGAGGCCGACATGTGGTCTTTGCGTGACATATCTTCAGCAACGAGGCCGACATGTGGTCTTTGCGTGACATATCTTCAGCAACGAGGCCGACATGTGGTCTTTGCGTGACATATCTTCAGCAACGAGGCCGAAATGTGGTCTTTGCGTGACATATCTTCAGCCACGAGGCCGATCTCTTTGAGGTCGTTATTATTTGATGTTTTTATGGATGATTTACATCATTTTGTTTCTTCTTTTAAAAAAAAAGTAAAATCTATTATTATCTAGAGGTCTAGAGGTATCTGAATAGATTCTTTGTGTGACGCATTCAGACTGCGATGCATTGATACTTTCGGAGGGAAAACAAACGTGTCATTATGTGTGCACCTGCAGCGTTTAACCTGAGTGTAAAAAAAAAAAACATTTGTGTAACTCAACCATGAAATATGAGATAACAAAGCTAATTGCAGGCACAGTATTGATTATACCTTTGTGTAAAATAGTGGAAATCTGGCCCTGGTTTCACCCTTCCTTGATGTGGCAGTGTATGCCCCGTTATTTGGGAACCCGCTATTAGACCCGTTATTTTGAGACAACCGCTATTAGTACGAAAACCATGTTTGGCGCCCAACGCGAGGTCGCGTGGTGTGACCTCGCCTAGCACTGGATCGGAATGTTGACCTCTCAGGTATCCCTTTCACCTCACCCGGACGGTCTCTATACGGCCGGCTTCTCTCGCGCATAGGGAGGAATTAATAAAATACCACTATGTGTGCTTAAGTTAGAAATTCAATAATTTATTTCTCGGGAACCCTAGGGTATTAAATTATAAATTATATCTAGTTAGAAAGGGGATTTTATTCACTATATATTAGCATATTTACAAGTCTCTTATCGTTGGAGGATATTTTAACATTGAGTTAAGGTGTTTTCACCTCCATCTATAGTGGTCCCCACCCCTTCTAGTTAAAATATCTCAAAAACCATTTAACTCATAGAAATATAAACTAGCATCTTAGCTAGCTGAGACAAAACTGCACAGATCACATGTAAGTCGTTAGGGCTTTGGTCAGGGATTTTAATGATTACTCTGGTGTAGTCCCGAGAGTTAGGCATTTTACCCCAGGAAACTGGCCAGAAGGCAAAACGTAGACCGACTTGGTTTAAGTCTGACGGAGGGGCTCTCTCATATGCCCGCGCACGGCTTTATAAAGGGTTGCACACTAAGCAGGGGGTCATTCGAGATCGGACAGCATCCCTGCTGTGTGCCATTGTTCAGTGCGGCCCATTGGAACGCTCTATAGTGTCCTTTTTCTACATAGTGGACATTTTCTTACATCTTTTTCTTAATTATAACAAGTGTTGGCCTTTTTCATCATAGTGGATTTCTTTGTAGAGCATTCATAAAGCTATAGTCCTCGAGACCTGCATTTCTTCATTTGGTTACTAGTAACTGGCAATGGCAGCCTTGGTACACCCAACAAGCACCAATCACCTACGTCACTCACCCACCACGCTAGTACATTAATATCGACAGAGGAATAGTTGCGTGTATACTCAGCAAACATAAATTTGGCCCAACCCCCTACTATATTAATTGTTTGATCTTAGCAACTTACTAAAAACTAACGCAAATGGACTAAAAGAAATAGCAAATAACACAGAAATACTGAAGCGATTATTTGTATAGAGATATGAATTCATTAGGTTGGTATATTGAAAGTGGGTAACTTTTCATGTATGTCAAATAGTATGAGATTCTCTGAGACTAATTGGAAGACGTGCCGTGGCATTTAAGAAAACGGCCAGGTTTGGCACAGTGACTCAAGGCAGTTGTAATAAAATTAAAATTCATTGAAATAGCTATTCAATTACAGGTGAGAGTTGGGAAGTAGCTACTGAGGTGAGAGTTGGGATGTAGCTGCTGGGGTGAGAGTTGAGAAGTAGCTACTGAGGTGAGAGTTGGGAAGTAGCTACTGAGGTGAGAGTTGGGAAGTTGCTACTGAAGTGAGAGCTGGGAAGTAGCTACTGAGGTGAGAGTTGGGAAGTAGCTGCTGAGGTGATAGTTGGGAAGTAGCTACTGAGGTGAGAGTTGGCAAGTAGCTACTGAGGTGAGAGTTGGGAAGTAGCTACTGAGGTGAGAGTTGGGAAGTTGCTACTAGCATGTCCTGATTCAACCTAAAATAATTTTGTCAGCTTTTAGGGACCATTTCGCCAAATGGTATGAATCAAATAATCTCTTAATAATGTTTCTCCAGTTCCCTGTATTTCTTCTTTTTTTTTTCTCATTCCTTAGATTTGATGTATCCCAAACTATTTTGGTCTGTTAAGAGTCTCTACCTTATTTTTCATAGTGCCAATATTCCTATTTTTTCACTTCCTGTAACATTTCTTCCGGAAACAGAAGGAATTCTCCAAAGTCCTTTTTACTGTACTCTTTTACTTGTCATACTTCTTTTTTTGTCTTGTTTGCTGATGAAGGCTCTAAGTTGAAACGTTCAAATCTTTTGTCCTGTCTATGAACTCAAGCTGAGCATAACTTGTCCTTATATTTCATTTACACGAATTGAATGTGGTCCATTAATTATTATCTTTGGATTCAACCAACCGAGCAACATCAATAGCTACTGGCGTGTCTGGATTCAACCAACCGAGCAACAATCAATAGCTACTAGTAACTAGCGTGTGTGGATTGAGGATTCAACCAAACGAGCAACAAGCAATAACTACTGGCGTGTCTGAATTCAACCAACCGAGCAACAACGTATAAACTGTAAAAAGGTTTTTTTGAGAAAAATGTATTTCAATTTATTAAAAATATTTTGTAGTTAAAAAGAACTTGATATACATTGCCATTCAGACTAAGCACAATCACCTTTTAAAATTAAATTAACAGCATGCAACGAACTTGAGACAAAGCTTGCAATCCTAAAAACGATTTTTATAGATCCTTTTAGTTAAAGTAATTTTTAATACTGGTGACAGTATTCAAGCGCTGATATATTTTTTTAAGATAAATAGAGAGAACCACTCATTAAGAGAGCTCAGCAAAATCATGCACACAAAAAATCTCTCACCGTCACAAAATAATCACTCATCATGACAAAACAATCACTCCGCTAAAAACTGATCTGGAAGCACAATTTTGTAGGGACGTAAAGAAATATTCATTTAATAATTTGTGACTTTTTCAATGAGGTAAAATTGAAGCGATATTCGATATTAAGAGCTCGTTAGGCTCACAGAAAAAAATAATATTTTAAAACTTTTAAAAAATTCAAAATAATAAGAATAGAAAAGAAGACCTATACCCATTTGTGGAGTAGTTTTAAAGAGCCATTGTTTTTGTTTTTTTTTTGTTTTTTTTAACCTTAAATAACAACAGGGCTAGACATAATCTCAAATAAATTCACATGTTTTAAAGCAAATAAAAATATTAGTAATAATAACTTTTAAAATAAATTTAAGCAAACAATGGATAAATATTGTGTAAAGAATTTTTTGAAAAAAGCTTTTCTCCTCCACACAGACCTTACCAATGAAATGGAATTTCCAGACAATATATTCTATTGTAGTCCTTTTAAATTGATTGATGAAAAAAAAAATTAGATTGTTGACAAAATAAAATTTTCTATAACTTTTATTTTGCCTCCATAATTAATGAGTTTCTAAATAAGAGCAGAAATGTGTCTATAATTATTGTGTAATAAAAGACCTGGAAGACAGGATGAGACACTTCTTGATAATAATAATATTATCTCTCTGAACAATTAAGCTTTGAAACTTTTTTTAAAAAGTCTCCTTTACCACAGAGGTTAATTAAGAACTGTAAAATTTAATTCATTTGAATGAATTTTATTCGATCGCTTCATTTACCCCAGTGTTTCCCAAGCGTTTCAAGTGCAGGGGCATATCGACAAGCACAGCGAATTTTAGAATGCCCATGAGGCACCGAGAGCTCGACCCAAAAGAAAGATTGCTAACGGATACCATTCTTCCTTTTCTGGTTATTATTTATTAATGAACGTCAATGCATTTTTGGATTTATTACAATATAGTAGAGTAAATATAGAGATCTCGCGGACCGGGGTTGGGATCCCATGATTTACCCTAAATCGGGGTTAAAAAAAACAACCTTTAACACATAAAACAACAAACAAAACAAACAAACAAAACAAACAAACAAAACAAACAAACAAACAAAACAAACAAACAAAACAAACAAACAAAACAAACAAAACAAACAAAACAAAATACAAACAAATACAAGAACACACACACAATCCTTAAACTGTAAAACTACTCTCCCGTTTGAAAAAGGAAAAAAACAAATTCAAATGTTAACAAATACATTTCATGCCAAAATTGGGATGTATCATGATGGGGGCTGGAAGAACGCGTTGACATACGACACGTGACCTTGGTAGTTGAAATCGCTGGCATTGGTGGTCCGTAAACAGCAGGTCTCGTAGTGGTATTCACGGAATCCAAGCTTTCTCAGGCGGTTCACTAACTGAAACATCAAATATGAAGAAAAAAAACCCCAGTCATTTAAGAACGTGTGGCGAACTTAGAGAAGATTATATGGTTTTATTTATTTATAAATAAATAAATAATATATATATATCGATAGATAAGATATATATATAGATATATAGATATATACGAATGTGTGCAGGTGTGCGTGAGTCTGTGTGTGTGTATGTGTGCGAGTGTGTGTGTGTGTGCGCGTGTGAGTGTTAAGTTGGGTTCGCCCCAGGCGGGTGTTTAGTCAAGGTGCCCCGCTCTCCCTCTTTACAAATCTACTTTATTGTTGCTATTACCACGGACTTGGACTTTGAGCAGAGAGGGGACGCCTGCGGCCGTTTAGTCGAACAATAGAAATACATTTATGACATCATCTCTTCATTTGTTTCGAAACAGGCTACCACAACATTTATCGAAAAACCTATCGATGTTTTTTTTACCCAGTCTGGATCGATCCTCAGAATCGAAAGAACGGGATTTCGTCATCTCAATGAGAAAATGTTTGGAATCAAAACTACACTGACCGTCTTAGCGGACATTCGATCTATCGATCGCTTGGCATCACTTGACATTGTGTGATCCGACTAAAAGTGCAGCCTCGCACCCGGTAAATAAACAGTCTAGTGTCGGTAAATGTATCTGAACTATTTCCCGAGGTCAACCTGCAACAGTTTCCGGTACATGGAGATCGATGCGTCCAAGAAATAGATATGTTTTCTCCCTTTGAAATCAAGGAGTGTTTATGATGATGTTGATAATGTCAGGAGCAACATGAGGTCTTTGTGAAGGGTACGTTTTATGGGGGGGGGGGGNCGCTCTGCCGATCGGGGGGGGAATCCATTGAAGTGTAGATGTCAAAGTAAGCTCTTTATGACATGGAGTAGGGAAGGGGCGGAGTGATCGGTACCCCCCTCGGACGGAACTTCTGTTTTCTTTATCCTTAGGAGCCGATGTTGATCCAAGAGCATATATATATATATTGTTTTTTACATCTCGGAAGATGTGCGTCAAAAATCTTGGCTCGTCCCGGGCGTCACCAAAACTAGCGACGCCACTGGTTCTGTGCTCCGTCACCTGCATGGGAACTGAACTTTGTTTTGCATACTGCGGCTTGGTGGGATGTTGGAAATACGTTAAGTCTGATGCCGCCAGGCGGGGTGTTGGAATTACCTTTAGCCTTATGATGCTGGTTGTGATGTTGGAATTACCTTTAGCCTTATGATGCTCGGTGTGATGTTGGAATTACCTTTAGCCTTATGATGCTGGGTGTGATGTTGGAATTACCTTTAGCCTCATGATGCTGGGTGTGATGTTGGAATTACCTTTAGCCTCATGATGCTGGGTGTGATGTTGGAATTACCTTTAGCCTCATGATGCTGGGTGTGATGCTGGAATTACCTTTAGTCCTATGATGCTGGCTGTGATGCTGGAATTACCATTAGCCTTATGATGCTGGGTGTGATGTTGGAATAACGTTTAGCCTTATGTTGCCGCGTGGGATCTTGGAGTAACATTAAGGCTTATATGATGCTAAGTGTGGTGTTGAAAGTGTTTTACGCCTTGCCTTATAATTGTAAGCATAGTCGCCTTTGTCCGGCCTATTAGGGAACAAATGGTACTCTATCAGCAGAAGCCTGATGTTCCTTAACACGTCTGTCTCAAACATATTGTCCAGCACGGCCCACTCGTAAGATTCAATATCCATTTTCAAAATATCGAGAACACGCTGCATTGAAAGAAAAACAAAAATACATCTTTTAAATTAAAACGTTTTACCTTTGTTTGTTATCTATGCTAGATCTATTTAGTTATTTTTTTTTTTAAAGAAATAAAAACATTTTGCGTATTAAAGATTTTTTGTTTGTTTTGGTTCCTTTAAAAATAATTATGTCTTTTAAATATACAGAATTCAAGAGAGCAAATGATTTCGGAAGATAAAGTTGTAATTTAATTAATCAAAGATGTGGCGATGTTTGCTGTTACTCCGTCTTTATAGGATTATGCAGTGATGGGTTGGTGCTAATGCCTCACATGCAACCAATCAATATATGAAGACAGTTTGTTTATTTTTTAATGAAAGATTGGTTTATGAATTAGGTTTTGTTTTGTTCTTTTTCTGTGTGAGACGTTTTGGAAGTAAATTTAGGTCAATAATATCGATCTGTTAAAAATGTACTTGACAGTGTTCCAGGAGTAACTTATATTTTGGTGACCCAATTCTCCCATTACACTTTAAAAAAAAAAATTGCTTTAAAATATATTGATATCAAGAAAATATATCATTTCTAAAGAAGTTGTAAAGTAGTTATTCAATTTATCAAAGATGTGGGAATGTTTGATGCTACTCCCTCGTTCTAGGCCGGTGGAGTGAAATGCTCACTAAGAGACATATCTAGGATGCAACCAAATAATTATAAAAGGACACTTTGTTTACTTTCCGCTGTTGCCATTTTTAAAGGTGGTTCTTGTGTTGGATGTGGGGCTGGAAGTAAGTTTGAGTGAAAACCTATCACCAACATTGATCTGTTATATTGATCAAATATATACGACCACGCATCACGAGTGACGTACATTTTGGTGACCCAATTCCGCCATTGCTCCCTTCAACGTCCTTATCTTCCATTTCTGGTCATCCTTTACGTAGCTGTCCTTGTTTGGCGCAAAACTGTTTGTGTTGATGGCTCCCATGCCCATGTTGTAGAAGGACACATGTGGACTTCTCACATGATCTTTTGTGTGCATACTGCGAGGATCATTATCAAACAAATTGTGTCAATGGCTAAAAAATTTTTTTTTTCAATTACGAAGGATAAAACATCCGCATAAACCAAGGGTTCTAATCATTTGCAACGCCACACCCCACATTTCGATTATAATTTTTGTCCGCATCGCGACATCATGAAAAATGCCAAGAGAACAGCAGTTCAACTGATTTTCTAGGTCGTCCAGTACCCCACTGACTCCGCCTCTGGATTTTGGGTATTTTTGGTCTAACAACCATTGGTATGAAAAATGTGTGCGACTCGGAGTTGCAGCTAATATACATCTTGAGCCTGAGGATGGGAGTGTGTACTATGTTACTGCTTCCGTCACGTGACTTACCTGGGGTCGAACGATGCCACCGTACAGCTTAAATTTCCCAAGGCGTCGTCAAATGAAAAGTCGTTGGCGATACTGTAAATCAATGGGAAACATGATATTTTTTAAAAAAATGAATAATTGATACTTAAGGTGACTAGTAGCCAATACCCGGCTATTGGTCAGATAAAGGTACATAGTAGCTGATACCCAGCAAGCGTCTACATAAAGGTAATCAGAAATCGTTACCAAAATATTGTGCCCAGACACCTTCCTGTTTTTAGTTGCCCGTTCAAAGAATTAAATAAATGTCTTATATTTTAAAGACCCTTTCGCCGATGGAATTAAATACTTTAACGAAGAATTGTTTTCTCCTGTATATATATATATATATATATATATATATATATATATATGTATATATATAAGAATGAGCTATGCTGATTGAACGCTAAGTAACGGACGTTTTTAGATACGTTCGGATTCTTAAAAACAATTATAGTTATTTTCTGTTATTTTACAGAAATCAAATAAATTTAAATGCCCCAAAAAAATATTATAGATCTGTTTTTATTTTAGTAAAATTTTAAGTGTTATTAGTGTAAATTACAAATACATTTAAAGTAGCAACGATGGAACTATTTCAAACATTTTATCCGAATGTAAAAATTAAGATAAAAATTAATTAATAAAAAATTATTATCTTATGCTTGCATCGTAATCACATTATTGGGAAAACCCAAAAATCCGTTAATTTTAGCTTGTTTTAGTGCGTTGTTAATAATGCGAAATAAAATTAAAATTATATTCCATTTTAATAAATACGCAAACTACGCCATAGCTTTAATTGTCTATTTTAGCCATAACTCTAATTTTCTTTGACTTACCTTTCAATGTGCATAGGTGTGTCTCATCATGGCAAGGGCGCGTGCCTCAATATAGCAACAGAGGACATCAGTGTCTTTGAGTTTGATATATCTTTTATATTTACAAGGCAATTATATACTTGTAAATCTTAGTTTGCCCTTACCTTACGCACAGCAAGTTTGCTTACAAACGTATGTTTTAAAGGCTCTACGATTAATTTCAAGAAAAAAATTACATGGAAGAAATACATTTTTTTCTTTCTTCTTTTAATTATTATTATATCTATTGTGCCTACCACCTGATGTTTCAGTAGAGCTTTCCCCCCTCCTGCCCACATCCACATTCACCTATACTAAGCTGGCTTCAGTATATGCTAGCCTGATGTCCATAACTAATTGGTGTGGCTTCTTGTTCTGAAGATTTACCCTTCCCCCTCCAATCCCCACCCCCCACTAGCTGTCATGCTCATGCAGCTGATGAAATTATTGATGCACACATTTTTTTTTCACTATGTACGACCTGGGGGCGCCTTACACTCAAATGACTTCATTCCTTGTTTGGCTTACAGAAAACCCACAGCTGCTGTACAATGGGGAAACACTATGTCCTGTATTCTTATCCGTTTCGACGGATGTTCTCTAAAATACAGAGAACGGACACACGTTATAGCTTGAAAAAATCTGAGGCACGGGGGATAACTATACAGCCACGGCTTTTTTACAAGAAGAACAAGTGGAGATAATCAGGGATGAAAATAGAGAGGGAGACAGAGGCTGAGAGAAAGAGATGTGAGATAAAGGAGAGAGAAAAATTGTTTAATGCTTTGCATTGTATCTCGATTAGACTTTAAGCCTAAGAACGAGAGAGCTGTAGATTCACAAAACTAGCGTGTCATCCCTGCTTTCCGTCCCGACCGAAAGACTCCCTGGGCGCCGCGAGGGGGGGGGGGATTGGTAACGCAATACCTTTCCTCCGAAGTTGAAGCCAATCCGCCCAGAGCCTTGGGGAGCGGGGACCGCGAACGCTTTAAACGCAGCGTTTTCGGGCCGTCCCCAAGGCCAGGCAGGAGGTTTCCGGCGTGCCGCCGCACGGTCTGGTGGGGGGGGGGAGACGCGGCGCCCGGCCCGTGTGGAGGTTTACTTGGGCAGAGGCATTGAGAGCTCGTATGACACGACGGCCCACCTACACCATTTCCCAATGTGACTTATTCACAAAAGTGTGTTAAGCATTGACTCACATCATTGCCATCTCAAGACAGACATCTCGATAAAGTGTGTTAAACGAAATCACAACACAGTTTATCAAATCGAAAAGAACGTCTCAAAATCAATGTTGTTGCTGAAGGTTGCAACACACGTGGTATCCAAGTGAAGGCAGCCACTACTGAACGTAATCATCGGGACATGGCGATAGAGAGGAATGTTGAGATGTGAAAATTTAAACCACAAAACCAACTACTTCAAGCAAAAATAATTGTCCTCACTCTACATTGGCTAGGCCGCCTAATGCCACAGAATAATAATAGGGCTCGAAAAATGAAATGTTCAATGTTTACTTTGGAAAAGTACGCCGTTCTACGTCATTTAATGACCACATGACATAAACAAGTGCCATTATTCAAAATTGAAATTTTAATTACAGAGAGAAAATTGTGTAAATATTTTTTTTACGCATGTTGACTTTGCCCTCCCGTAAATGGAATATTGTGGTGACCTGAGAGCGTTTGGTTCAATCTCTGTGACGTGTTGGAATAGACGCTCAGTAGTCAGTAGTTAAGGATGGAAGTATTTACTTCCCCTCCTCCTCATCCATTATTAGTGGCCAGTTCCAAGACGAACTTTGTGTATGTTCAGGTGTGGTTAAATAAGACAAGATTAAAATCTATTAAAATAAATTTCAACGAGTTATCGCTACCACCAGCGCCCCCACCCCTCCCATTCCTACCACCACCGTCGGCACTTTTAGAAAGAGATATTTGCACTTTTATTATCAATACTACATTAAAAAGTCTTACAGGAGGCCCTCTAATGCTGGAGTTCTCAGAGGTGTGTCATCTAAACTATGCTTGTCCGTTTCAACGCTCTGTTGAACACACAGAACGATAACGTGGGGCATTCTAATTGGTTTTTAAACCGTCAAGAAGTAGATTTGACCTACACAAGACGAACCAATTTTAAGATGCCCCGTGACACACACACACACAAAAAGAAACACACACACATCCTGACTTTCCCAACCCTACCACAACCGCCTTGAAGCTGTTCAAATGACAGTCGTGGCTGGATGAAGTAGATTTAAAGAATGCCGTCGTGAATAAGGAGCTGAAAACGTGTCCAGTAAAATTATACATGGAGAATGGGGTCAAGGACAGCCCGAAGGCCAGGTATTAGCTTTCATTCAACCCCCCCCCCCCAAACCCCTTGCTTGTTTGTGTTTTTTTCATTTTTAAAAATAACGCTTCACTCCAAACCAAGAAATATTCAGAAGGTCAGTTTGCGTTAAACGTCGCAACTTACCCAAAGGAATAGACCAAACAAGGGGGCTTGATGACGTACGGCTCGTCCTGACAAACGTGATAGTTGCCGAAGTCGACCATAGTTTTGCACTTGTGTCTTAAAGTGGGATTCATGTACCTGGATGAAAATGAAATAAAATGTGTCTTTTTTGAAAAGGTGAAATCGTAGGAATACGAAATAAGTCGTTCGCATTAAAAAGTAAGTGTGTGTGTGCGTGTAGAAAAGGAA